AAGCTTCGCAATCGAACTTTGTGACCTTGGTTGTATTGATCTATTATATACTCATCAGTCATGATGGTCGAATGGACCAGAACGTCCTTTGTCCTTTCAATCAGTTTCCTTCTTCGGTAGTAGAATTCCATGCCTGTATCGTGTGAACGGGGTCGCAGTAGGCAAGAACGTAGATCCTAGGGGGGACGCGCGTCGCCCACTCTTTGGACATTCGGAATCAGCGTATAATCCATAATAAATTATGTCAGCATGATGCCCCCGTCTCCCCCTCCCATCCTATCCAATCCAAAACCTACTTTGGATTGGATTTCAGTTCTTGGTGGCAAGTCGTCCAAATTGTGAGAATTATAGACTGATTAATACAAAACAATTTAATGCCCACAAACACATCCCAACAGTAAAATCTCCAACTAGGGCTTACATTAGAGAAAATATATACTGTAATTCGATATACTGCAAACTGCAAAATTTTCTTTCTTTCACATCGTCGCGAATCAGCTGTAGTCAGGGCCATGCCAATACTAACTGGGGGAGGGTGTAGGGATATAATACCCCCATCCCTCCAACTGAACAGTCGCCAAGAGGCCCCTTCATCTTGAAAGCATGAGGAGTTTGTTGGAGGTAGGTTAAAATTTAACTTTTTGCATTTTTACCTGCTTTAGGGACCGGTCATTATTTATGGAAGGGGGGAGGGAAAAAATAAGGAGGGGGGGGGCATATGTATAAATAAATGATTAGAAGGGCGGCTATTAAATTTTTTCAAGAAAATGGGGGGGGGGGTTGCCATTGAATTTGAAGGAATTTGCTTCATAAGCGTGGTATCCATTTGGTTGTAAATGTTGCGACTAAATCATGGTCACTGATGTGAAATAGTCTGGATTTATCTTGTCTTCCGTGTGCTGTATGCAAATCAGTCTTTACTGATTGCAGAGATAAATTGACAATGTATTATTACATCAGCTATCTTGATGTGGTTAAATACATTTAAGCAAAGTTAACGGCGGATGTAGTATGCAGGCCACATCCGCTGAGGGTAGTCTGTGACGTCATATCGATCAAAGGGGGTTGTTTCGCGCCTTGCCCTTGTGATCAGTGCTTCGGTCTAGGTACACAATCTGCCATTGTATGCTTTGCCTAGCTGCAGCATGTTTAGCGCTTAGATACCTTTTCCCTACCCACCCACCCATGTTTATTCCAGAGGATTTTATCTGGTGGCATGTCATTTTATTTTATATAATTTCTATCTCACATAAAATAGGATGTATAGACCACTATATATTTTATTTCGTTTCCACCGACTTGTCAATGTGACTAGTGGCGGAGGTACTGCTCTTTTAAGGGGGGCTTTCAATTTTAAAATTTAGGAAAGAAAAAATTCCCCTCCTCCCCTTCCATAAATAATGACCGGTTCCTTACCACAACATGGTCCTTCTGCAGGACCCCGACCTAGAAGAAGGACCTGCCCGATTTATACAAAAAAATTTTAATGAAGTCATTTTTGTCGACTTTAATATTCAATGAATGACTAGAATAAATATAAAATCAGGCTTACAGGTAAACTACGTGAAGCGTTCCTCTTTTGAGTTTCTAACTGATTTGGAATTTTCCTAATTATCTTTGCAAATTTGAAAAACTCTTTGTAATTCCCTTGAGGGAATTTGCAATGTTCCTATCGGCTGTTGCAATATTCCAATGCAGAGAAACTTCCTTTTAAATGTTCCTAACTTCCTGTTCGGTTCTGAGCGTTGCCATAGGTGGATTGTTTTTAATTGTTGGCCAATTACAATGCATGTATAAAGAACAGATCAGAACAGGAAGATAGGAACTGGTAACTGAAAGTTAAGAACTACCGAAAGGAACTGAGGAAAATTGGCTTTTAGCAACATTGAAAATTCCACCAAGGGATTTGCAAGGGAGCTTTTCAAATTAGCAAAGGTGATGAGGAAATTTGTAATCAAGTAGGGAGTCCGACGCTTTACGTGGTTTAAACTTAACTACAGTTTCACAGTCAAGCCAATAAGTAGCCTGAGCCCTGCGTCTACCTGCAACGGGGGACACCAGAAAGATCGGCGCGCTACCGTGGCAGGCATATCGTCTGCAACGCAGGATGTGGCTCAAATTTCGGAACCCTATTATAAGTATTCAAATTGTATACATTTTGTTATGCGACAGCCAAAAGGCCATGGGCATGAGTTTGAGGTTCCGTTGACACGGGACGGGCATGATGATTTCGAAACTGTGCTCGTGCAATTCAGTTTCGCCTTTCGATTCGAGTTCAATAGGGGCGCATGAAACCGTAACGATTTCAACTATACAGCTAAGCCAATTAGGAATTCCCATGTAAACAAATGACAGGGAACAAATTTGCGCGACAGCTCGTGAAAATGTACAAAATAAAACACTAATCATTTCATAGGCGCAGGCGTCAGAACAAGCGCCTTTCACCTATGAGATCGTGGGTTCGATTCTCGCAATCTCATTGCCCACTCATGTGAAAACCACTCATGTGAAAACCACTCAACACTCTCCCGAAAGTCTGCCTGATGTCGTGGGTTTTCTCTGGGTGCTTCGGTGTCCTCCCACTACATGGAAAATTGACAGGGTGGGAGATAAACACAGCTAAGAAAGCAAATCACAATTATTGTAAAAGATAGAATATTCTAGGCAAAAACTATGTAATTATGTGAGCGTAACACATGTCACATGATGGAAATCGCATTTGATCATATCCACATGTAAATTAGGGTTATAGTAGTATAGAAAACTTAATCTTTTATAGTAGTATAGAAAACTTAATCTTTCATATTTTACTTGCTCTGGACGATGAATTTCAGCCGTTACTTTGAATATATATAAACGGTTTAACACTCACTCTTGTTTTGGCTGATATTTTAAGTTTAAACGAGACGATTTTCGGCAGTTTCTGTTTTTTTATACGCGGTAGTCACTTTTCGCCTTATTAAAAATTCAAACTTCATCCTGTCCGACGGAAAAGCAAAATATGCCAATTTCCTTCATCGATAGAATTCGGCACGTGTTACTAGAAAGCCGCATATATGTTTATACTATATATTTGATTTTTGCGATACAATCTTGAAGCTAGCTATGTCAACAAGTAAGTTCAAAAGAAACGCTCAGAAACCACGATCTACCGATAATATTGCGAAAAACAGCATGACTTATTAAACACAAAGGAATAACAAATGAATCGAGGCGGTACGGAAAGCGAACAAAGTGAATTTAACAAACACAAGGCGGTTCGACAACTTTTTGGCTTTTTTTGTATGACAATGCTGAATAGGGAAATAGAACACAGCAGGTGTATTGTCGAACTCGACTTCACAAGGCATGAGATTATTAACTTGCAACTAATTATAAAAAAAAAATGTTTCCACTCAGTGAGAACGCGTTCGGCTTCAGAGGGCGGTTGAATCATAACATATATATATATATATATATATATATATATATATATATATATATATATATATATATATATATATATATATATATATATATATATATATATATATATATATATATATATGTGTGTGTGTGTATTACAGTAAATAACTGAGACTGGGGTACTAAAATATCATCCATTCTCATTTACATCTGGGCACAATAGAATAGTCGGGCAGATAGAAGGGAAAAACCTACCATATCGTGGGACAATTCCAAATGTGAAAGCCTGCATTTTGCCTTCAGGGCACAATATGAAGGCAAAATGGAATTGTCCCACGATACGGTACGTTCAGTCCCATAATTTTGATCCTCTATCTGCCTGACTAGAACTGCAATATGAGAATGTAACGAAACTTTGGTTGATTGGGATGCAACTACATGAAAAATACAAGGAGAACTTCGACGTTTCGAGCGAAGACCCTTCATCTGGAAGTTCATCCCGACGAAGGGCTTTCGTTCGAAACGTCGAAAGTCTCCTTGTATTTTTCTGATAGTTGCATCCCTATCAACGACGTTTTGTTATTACCGGTACTAGACCGTTGAACATAATACGAGAATGTATTCAGTAAATTTGCTCGATAATAGACACTCCCTGAATTTTTAGAAACAATAGCTTGAAACCGAGACGGAAAATAATCGAAACGAGGCTCCAGTCACACGACACCCAATTTGTTCAGGAGTAATGTCAGCTCGGCAGAAAATTCCCCCCTTTCTTTTTAACAGTTTCGTTTTGAACTGTCTCCTTATATTTTTCAGGTAGTTGCATCCCTGCCAACCGGAAAGCATGTTCGTTTGAGTTTGTCACACTATCGTAATTTTAAGTGTTAAGGCCCATTTCCACTCAAGAAAAAATTCCACGGACAGAAAATTTTCCGAAAATGTCATTGTTAAAAGTTGAAAATTTTCCACTTCAAAATTTTTTTCCCACGGAAAATTTGTGTCGGCCAATCACATTTTACAAAATTTTCTTTCCGCGGAAAATTTTCTTGAGTGGAAATGGGCCTTTAAGATATTCCTGGAACCGTTATTCGTTAAATTATTAAATTCGATGTCGTGACAAACGGTAACGTGCAACTGGGGCGTACAGGTAAAGTAGTTTTCATTGACAGCCAGCAAATTCGGGAGGTTTCTAGCATGCTTGTAATAATAATAATAATAATAATAATAATAATAATAATAATAATAATAATAATAATAATAATAATAATAATAATAATAATAATAATAATAATAATATTGTATTGGGTATATGTTTACATAAAAACACGATGGAGTGAAATATATGTATACTGATTTTAAGTATATGTCACTGTTTCTGACCTGGAAAAACATCACAACCGTGGCTTGCGAGGTTGTACTCGAAACGACAGTGTATGTATTTTTGGCGGGAACTCCCTCATTTACTATCGGCTTACAAATCGGAATTCAAAACGGCACTATTCAATTTCAACGAGTTGGAATGTGTATTTATCAAGTTTTCTGGTGTACACGGCAACTATCAAACAATTTGTCTTGCTGGGCATATTCATCCTCAGCGGGACGTATTTTGAATTTTTGAGGCGAATCCAGTTAAAACAATCCACGAATATTAATCTTTCGGGAAATATTAGTTTTCATTCTTATTGCATGCCTATAGGTAATAAGTGTCTTCATAATAGAACTATTTGCATTTTAACTATATTTGATAACATGCAGGAAATATTTACATATAAAAATAGAAGTTCTCTCTTTTAAACAACAATGGCCGGCTACGTATACCATACAGATTCCACGCTGCATGTTTATGGCAAAACTATTTCTTCCAATTTCTCACGATTTTTTCGGCTATAAGTTAATGAATTCGTAGTGACTCCTATTTCACTTTGTACTTGTAACAATTATATTGTTTCACGAATGCGCTGGATGTTGATTCCCATCAGCCAGAAAAAGCATGCATGACTTTGACATTTCTACTGATTAAATTTCAATTAAACTCCTTCGCTCAAACCATTATTTTAATATTTTTCTTGTAGAATAGTATATCAGTATTGTATACACACCGACGCTGCTGAACTAAAGTAAGATATATTCTCTTCTATATGGCATATAATATACAAATATATACATATGTACTGTACTGAATAGCTTACAGACATGCAGTGCTAAGCGCTTTTTGCGAGTTTAATAAATCGAATTAGTTGGCGTGTATTTGTGCACACAGTGCCAATTATTATCTTGTCATCTTGGCAGTCCCATGATATGTCTCATGCAATAAGCCCATTTATGAAACATGTAACTTTCGATAAATGATATGCCTGATTTGTCGATTTTGCATTCACGGAGTGTGACGGTGCATTTTCCCCGTTATGCTGTGGTCCGTAGCACGATCTGAAAGGCAATGTGCTCTACTCATTTTGTATCGGACTCACTGTACCGCGTGTGATTTTGCGGTGATATTGAGTTTTACCGCATGTATTGATATATGAAAGAAATCGCGATTAAATTTGCGCTATTTTATTGCACAATAATAAATTCCTTTGTCATATATGTCACCATAGCTACTCCTGAGTAATATTTCATGAGAAATTGGCAATTTTCAATTAATTTTGGGTTTTTTAAAATTATCCCTTTAAATTTAATAAGGTTACAAAAGAAAGTTACAGGCACACAGATATTGTGTATATTAAAACAGCACGCATCGAAATAACTTTTCATTCAAATTCAAAATAAACCGAATTTAAAATTTATGAATAATTGATGCTTGTGATGTTACTCTGAGACTGAGTGTATATCCACACCGGGCATGCTTGAAAAATATGCTTGGCCACGGTGGGAATTATTCGTCATTGGCATTGGAATTTCTCATCTTTCATAATACTTTATAAAAAAATGAAAATCGTAACTTTGTTTATTCGGTCGAAAATTGTGAAATCGTAAAACCTGTGCTTATATTCCAATTTCATGCGTTCTCTTCTGAAATAATCACTAAATGTTGTTAGTGGTTAAGTATATGACATCACATGTAATCGTCGAAAGTGTTTCTATTTTAGAGAAATTTATAACGTTATCACATGCACCTACTGATTTTGTTAAAATTTGCTACATTCTTTTTAAAAATCTAATGATCCGCTAATTTAACAAAACCCATTGCGGTTTAAACGAATAATTTACGCAATTTCTCAATCAATTACTCGTGCATAGCCACAGAGAGTGGTGTTTTAAGATCGATAGAAGTTAGCACATTACACATGCCTTTATATAGAACAGCTATTGACCAATACACGAAACTACATACAACCGAACTTTTTGAAACATTCAATAAGTTGTTTATAGAGCCATCTATAAAGTCACCTTAATCGAAACTAGTGCGCCTATTGCTATATATAAAGAAAGTTGCTTGATATTATAGTTAAAATGTCATATTGTCCGCGCAATGAATCATATACATAGTCATAAATTTGCAATACAGACCCACTGTGGGCTTTAGTCAATTCTCCATTTACAGTTCCGTACTTCTCTGCTGTGGTTCACCGTCTATAGCGGGTGCGTCAACTAATTGAGCACGATTATCGCTTTCTTTTCGGTGCTGGCGATAGTCGGTTTGAGCCCTCAAATGTGTAAAGTATGTGCGAAGAGTCTCTGCCTTCCAGCAGACGTCTCGCAAGGCGCGAACAATTTTCACTACCTCTAAGCGGTACTCTTTGCTCATGATAATCAGAATGACGGGGTTGACAGCGCTGTGTGCAAAAAACAGTGAAACAAACAGCGCGTACAAGAGGTTGTGGTCTCCTCCTGCACCAAACTGCGCGGCCAGGGCGAAGGTAGTAAACGGAAGAACACAACAGCAAAACGCAAGCACAATAATGACCAACATCTTCGCCACTTTCTTACTTTGTTCCACAAGCGAAAATACTGATGTCGTAGGCTTGCCTTCGCTGCTTACGAAACTCGTACGACGTGTTTGTAAACGCTGTAGCGACTTAGCGATACGGATATAACAGAACGTTATAATACAAGCAGGCAGAACGATGCATGCTATACTCAAAAGGACGTGTATCTTTTGTTCCGTATTACTGCTCCATTCTGGGTCACAGAAAATAAACCGACCATCTCCTGTCTCGTCGATCAGCTGCATGACAAAAACCATTGGTAGGCCGACGAATAAATATCCAACGATCCATATGCTGACAATGATGATACGCGCATGTTTTGGGTTAGGCTTCGTTTTAAATGGGCCCGTGATGACCCAATAACGCTCAATGCTGAGTCCAGTCACTGTCATGATCGCAACAAATACGAAGACATCTCGGAGCGGGTATAAAAACTTGCATGGAAATTCCCCAAACGGCCAGGACGTGAAATGCGTTATCATATCCGTTGGTAGCGCAACTAGGATAATTGCCAAATCTGCAATTGCCAAGTTTATAATATAGTACGTACTTCTTGTACTGCGATGTGTCCGATGTTTACAAAGTTGCGAGGCAGCCATGAGAACAAGGACATTTGCAACGAAACCAACGACTGCGATGAGGCAGAACAAACACAACTGAAGTACAACTGATCCCCATTTCTCCCGAGAAATTATACTCTCATTCATATCAGGCCAATTTGGTTTTGCCGTTGTAAAGTTCATCTTGAATAGTATTCCACTGTAAAACATTTTTGCTGTTTAGATATGTAGGCAGGACTGCATTAACGTTTTAAAAGATACTATTTTGGGTAAATCTAACGACGATTTTCTAAGCCCTCTTCACGCTCGCAAGTTAACATGCTATGTCTAATATGAGAACGGTCCCTTTGCTTTCTTATCAAATTAGCGTAACAGCATAGATTATCGGGCAGCTGTAATCCTCAAGCCAGTGCTAATTGGTTTATAATTTCTGCGTTATGCACTAGCATTAGAACAGTTCGAGCTTTTCGTTCCGTCTTTTCGACAGGAAATCTTGAAAGGGCAACACTCAAGAGCTGGGAACTTGACCTGTCATACTTATCGACGGTTGAACTAAGGTTTTCAATGCATGTGTCAACTGCGAGCTTTGATAATACGCATTATAAGGACAAAGCGCTGAGAAACGGAGACAAACACTTAACGTAAAACTGACAAGGATAGAGAACTCGAGAAGCACTTACCTTACTAGAAATTTAATCCCTCTTAAATCTGCTGTGGTAAACACTGAGGATGAGAAGTGAATGACATACAGTGACCGCTTCCTTCAGCTCATAACATGCCAAATCAGTATCCCGAGACAACAGCTTTAGTTTCAGCTGCTTGATTAATCTCGCTCTTTGTGTGATGTTTATCCGTAAATTCTGCAGGAGTTCTTTCTTCACAACAGCGGGTCATCAATCGAGCAACGTTAATGTTTTTATGCTGCTAAACGTTCGATGTTTGTCATGACAAAGCGTTTGCCTCGCATTGCTTTGCGCGAATAAGATTGCTGAGATTAGCGTGCTGACGTACAAGATTATATTGCACGCAGTTGCTTGGTTATTTTACAATCCTCCGCTTCCTGTGTTTACGAGTGACGCACGCTGATTGGCTAATCGCACTGGCTGCGAGGAAGAGATAACCGACTCTTGACAAGAAGCCTGTGCTTGCTAAACTGCCACGCGTTAAATTTCCTTATAATCTGAGCAACTTGGGGAAACCCACGGACATCCGGAACGGAATTACACGTTTAGCACAAGCGCCATGTCTATACCATTAATTATTTTTTCTGTTGCTTCAAGCGATCCTTATCCTTAAATAATTTTGCTTTATCACTTGTCTTGCATATTTTACTCAAGTGTCTGGGGAAAAAAACAAGCGTATCAACTAGAAGGCAGTTTTCATCAAAATGAGTGTTATCTGGGAGGTTGTGAGTATTGATCAAAATCTCGCCGTGCCAGAGATAGTTTTCAATCAACAGACGCCTACATTTAGCCTACACATCACTTTACAGTGCGACGAAACTGTTGTCTTCTTCCTTGCAAATCGCAGTAGGCCCGTGGAGAAACAGTTATTTTGATTCCTAACCTCCGTGAAAACACTTTGAATTGAATTTGAAGCCATAAACAGAACACATGCGAATATGGGGCGAACTAGATTTTTCCGACCTTATATAGAATGCGATGTAACAGCTAGATTCGCTCACAGTTAATCGCTATATGAATACTATTAAAGTATGCATTACTGCATAATCAATACAGTCACTTGGATATTTGTCCAAAAGCTAGAAACAGTCCGTAATTTAATGAAATAAAGGGGGAAATGAAAACATCCTGTGTGAAAACCAAGATATGGACTAATACAAGGCGTAAATTTCAATTTCCGAATTGCGGTCATATACATGCCTACAAAAATAGCCTGAGAACGAATCGTGTTAAATTGTAAATTTGTGAGTTTAGGCAAGTGTGAGTCTAAGCGCCTTGGCGTATATCACTATAGGGAATTTGGCAACAAACAACGGCGGAAAACAAAAAAATTTATAATATGTATATTTGAGCCAAAATACATTACTAAACTTTATTTGCCCCCTATAAAAGTGCTTATCTTTCTTTTAAATAACACTTAGCATTGTGTAAAAATATTCAGTGTTTCCCGGTTATTTTTCACATTAAAAACACTCCACACGTGGTGCGCCAACAGTTAAAACGTTCAAAGCAGTTATGAGCCGTGAAAATAATGTAAACAACTAGGCTTCGGCCCGGATTCGCGACGCGATCTTGAAAGTAGTGACTAGACAGACTAGTGTTTTCACTATTGATCATTGTGTTTGCCCTACTTACAAATTACCTATATAGGGCGGAATTACTAGGAATTCGCTATTGTGCTTACTCCACTTGGCAACTGACGGATGGCGTCATGAACCCCGAAATGGCGTATTAGAAAGCTCACTGGGAGAACTCGTTCAAATACAACTTATAGTCGCCTTTGTCGTTGAGCCGGTACAATTTTCATTGTTGCCGATAATCACGCTTTCATATATGTATAGACTATAGTCTCTTATAGCGACTTTGACACCTTTGCCGCGAAACTAGTCACTATTGTATTTTAGTTTTACAATTTAACTGTTTTAAATGTACGTCTTAGTTAAGGCCATATCTTGGGGGTTTTCAACTGGATGTTTTCAAATTTTTTTTTATACAATCACACAGGCTATACATCAATCATATATGCAATTTACTTCAATTCAGTTCCGAAATTAAGTGAGTAGTAGAAATGTGCTATCAAAGACAAAGATGAACTATCATCAGTTTTTCAAAACCGAATTGGAACAGACCTGACACTCCTTACCGTTATCAAAATTACTTTGATAATACGTCTCTATTACAAACTTGATTCCAACCCACGGTATATGCATGTGTATAAAATAAATATTGCCTTAGCTTATTCTCATACTTGAGTGCTACCAAACTTCATAAATTAAATTACACTGTAAAACTAGCTTCAGCTAGACTGGTTTTATTCACTACTAACTGTACACCGGTGGTACTGATAAATTGGTAATACTTACATGGTTTTATTCAGTCCGGCGAACACTAGTTGAAACCGATTATTATTTAACAATTATTCGCCGAAGGCGAGGAGTGATATTTACCGAGACGAAGTCGAGTTAGTGTTGCGATGTTTCTCACTTGTACACGCACGCTTTCGAAAGGGCTTCCTGTGTGACTTTATTACTTTATTACAAAGATTGTCAAAGTTGTTTTTCTCGATTTCTGCTCAGAATATAAAAACAATGCGGATGGGATGACTTTTTCACTAGACTTAAAATAGTTTCTGTTTAGCATTAATTTGTTCAGGAAATGGCTCAGAAAATTGGTAAAGTAAAATGTAAAACTGATTGCTCGAATGCTTTTCACTTTACACGTTTCGAAAACACAATACAGCGGCAGGACACCATACAGCACAATGAAAACATGACATATAAAAATAAAATAGTATCGTTATAAATAGTATCGAGGCTTAACTCGAAGATTTGCTACCCCCGTCAAAAGAAATAGTATCGTACAAATTGAGATATCTATATTTTAAAAGTATATCACGGCAAGGTTTTTCCCAACAGTCGGGATCATAGTTTTTGCTATTTGTTCTAATTGAATGTTTTGGAGTTTTAAATATTAGCTAGTTTTACTAATTGTTCGTCGGAATATATGCTTGACACAGTAACATAAAGGAATCCTACCTTTCAAGTTAAATACAACATTTTGTCCTTCTTTCGCCAGTTTTTTGGGGACAATTGTTTCCAATATTTCATCGATTTTGAAACCAAATTTGGAAAATCGTCCTTTTTGAAAATCATTATTTACTAGTCCGCTGGTAAATAATGCGTCAAATTTACCAGTCAACTAACCAATCAGAACGCGCGAAAGCTCGTTCAGTTGATATGCAAAATTTATACTAATTCCCGATAATCACCGAGGCTGAGACGAATAATTGTCAGTTTAGTATATTTTTATACAAGTCTTTTGCGTTTTTTTGGCCGACTGAATTTATTTTACTGTAATTTCCCTTATTTCTCAAGTTTCTCAGTAACTTCCACAAAACGGCTAGCCGCCATTTTGTCATTTTCGGTTTTGTTAGTATTCGGGCCTGCAGGTGAATATTAACTTCATAGTATTTTTGCACAAGTGAACATAACAAATCCTACACGTTGATTGGTCAAATTTGAAGTAATAAGCTGTTATATTTACCTACAGGTGAATATAACAAAACAGAAATTTTCAAAATGGCGGCTACCCGTTTTGTGGAAGTTTAGTGACAAAGCAACATAAGCGAAATTAAAATAAATTCAGTCTCAAAAAAACACGAAAGCTTGTGTAAAATTACTAAAACAATTATTCGCCTCAGGCTCGGTGATTATCGGGGAATATTTACCTCGACTTCGTCTCGGCGAATATTCCCCGATAATCACGTCGCCTTCGGCGAATAATCAGTGTACAGAGAAATATGGGACCGAGATTTTTTTGTACAGACCGAGCGCGTAGGGCGAGTTTTGTACAAAAAGACCGAGCAAGCGAGCAAATACCGAGCAAGCGAGGTTAATAAAAAGTTTATTATATGGCATTTATAGGCATTTATATACTTGAAAAAAACCCCAGAAATGCATGATTTGAAATGCTTATTAGTACCATGGTACACATTTGGTCGAAGAACTGAAAAAATACCAATGTAATCTCGAATGTAATTCCCTCTGTTCAGCTAAAAACCGTTCGCAGATATCTTATTACTAACAAATTAAATTATAATTTTCAAATTTTTAATCAGTTTTGCTGTTTTATTTAATTTTAAAATGAATGCGTTTGTTTTATATAAATGGACCGCTGGTCCATTGCGGAAAAATAATGGACCGCTGAAAGTGATTCTCGGCCAATCACGGTCCGCCATTTCACCGGAAGTGATGCTTGCCATATGATAAAACCACTGATCTGAAAAGTAAGCCGGAAGTCACCGGCCACCACCCGATTCTGGGGCTCCACTTTTGTATAGATATGTATTACAGTATGGTAGTTTTTCGCGTTTTTTGCTTTGGCTACGTTTCTGACCGGGCCAGTTTTACAATCACAAAGATAGAAGCATACTGAGAAGAATTTTGAGCAAACAATTTGGAGTATTATGGCTTTATAACGCCGCGAAACGGGATTTACAACTTTGAAGGAGTGGAGAGCCTCAGACTTTGTTTATCAACACGAGCTCGTTTTGCTACTTTCATACAAAATCAACTCAAAATATACAAGAATTACTGTTACTGCATGGACGAATATTCTCAGGAAATTTGAAGAAATGAAGCAGATACATTGTGAACAAATGCGTACTGAGGCCGTTTTAAAATCCCTTGAGGCTTGAGGCTACTTTTGCTATTGATGAATTATTAAAAGAACAGTTTTCAGTTTTCAATGTCAATTTTGTCACTTAAACAAACCTGTTCTCTTAACCCATCAATAACAACCCACCAATATATTTTGAGTTGATTATGCATGAAAGTAGCAAAACGAGCTCGTGTTGATAAACAAAGTCTGAGGCTCTTCACTCCTTCAAAGTTGTAAATCCCGTTTCGCGGCGTTATAAAGCCATAATACTCCAAATATTTTGCTCAAAATTCTTCTTGTATGCTTCTACCTTTGTGATTGTAAAACTGGCCCGATCAGAAGCGTAGCCAAGGCAAAAAACGCGAAAAACTACCATTATACTGTAATTATACAAATCTATACAAAATTGGGGCCCCAGAATTGGGTGGCGGACGGTGACTTCCGGCTTCATTTTGCATACTATATAGATGCGTTATCCAGTCTTATTTCAGATCAGTGAATAAAACAGCTTAATACGTCAAATTTGAGCACTCAACTAGTGTAGGATTTGTTATATTCACTTGTGCAAAAATACTAAAGCTTTGATTGGGATTGCTTCCATATTCCGGCCATTTGCTGCACGGAAGTCTATCAATCATTGGGCTCAGTGGCTCAATTTGCATAATTATAGGGATATGATCGAAGTTTTTCTTTATAGTTGAAAGAACCTTGGTACGTATTTTTGGCACAAAAATGCAAAACGTTGCTGAATTAGAATCAGTTTATTTATATCAAAGACAAAGTTCACAGTCACAGAGATATAAGTTCGGAGAGTTTATTTATATTATTGTCCAACAATATTTGCAAACTGATCTGGCAGAATACTCAGGAATTTCAGTATCATGTATTCTATATTTGAATAGCCTGAGAATACTGTTGCTTATTGACAGTATATATGGCCAGTCGTCTGTCAGTGGGTTTATCCTTCAATCGATTAGTCAGGCTTCCCTCTTCGCCTTCGGAGCCATAACAACTCCAAAAACAAATAGTACCCTGAGCCAACAACAACGAGGGTAACAACTACACGAGATATAGTATCTATTTCGAGCGGGTAGCGGATAAAAAGAGCGCGGGTCACGGGTAAAAATAGAGGGTGATTAAAAAGGACTTCAGAGATTTGGATTCTTGCACTTCACTTGGTGGAATTAATATTAGAATGTTAGGGTTTGTAATCCAAGTGAGTATATATACATTTTAAGACCTAACCAGGAACGACTGCGAAAAATGCAGCACAAGGTCCTCTGGTAGGAATTGAACCTACGGCCCTGCGATTCCGGTGCAGCGCTCTAACCAACTGAGCTACAGAGGCCAGCTGTTGAGCTGTAAGAAGCGGGTTAAAAGGAGCGGGTAATTAAAAAAGCGGCAGATAATTTCCCCAGGAGCCAAGCGCCGGTGGGGAATTTTAAAGTAAAAATAATTTTTGTATGAAAGTGTAAACAACATGAGGGCCATTTTTACTGATACATGAAAGCAAACTATGCTTGCACTTCACTTAAAAAAATCTCGAAAATTCTATCTAATGTTAAATGTCAAATAACAAACACAACACATTTTACAGATATTTAACAGTCTGAATATGACTTACTATGACGTGCTAAAAATACGTATACACTAGCACAACTACGTTTTTGGGTCATCAAATGGACAAATATTTATTATAACACAAGTGTTACTCAAAAACTTGATCTACAGTCGGTATCGGCTATTGCCTCTCCAAACTCCATTTATGTATCACTGACTCGATAGAGCAAAGCAAACCATAAACCATTTCTTACTATAAATTTATCCGAATTCAATTTTTCGGATTTGTGCTCCTACCCGTGAGATGTTTTTTAACGGGGTTTTGTCAACCTTTAAACTTTAAAATTATTTATTAGTCAATTTTCGGCAAAAAAATCGATTTCTAAATTTCGAACTTTCCTTTCTCAAAAATCCCAGAAAAATCCCAACTGCTTCAAAAAATCCCGGACTTGGCAACGTTGATATATAAAGAAACCTCGGCACAGGCTGAATTAAGTGATTATACCAGCGATGAGCACCTGGGAAAATTACCCGCTCCTTTTACCCGCGACCCACTCTTTTTACCGGCGACCTGCTATCCCCGCTCTAAATAGATAATCCCCAACTATATATACACATGCAACAGGATTTTACTATTGGCATTTCACTCGAATCATAATTAATAGAAGAGACATGGTTTTGAAACTCAATATACCTTAATAAGCGTTATTTAAGTTAGTCAACATTTATGCAAAAATGTGGTACTTCGCTGTCACGTGCGTATCGTATTTTCGACGAACCATTAGTGGCAATTTTTAATTAAGTTGTTCATGTGACGGATAGATAACTTTCCTAAAACATTGCTACTGGTTGGTTATAGGCAAAAATATTAGCCAGATAACTCAGTATGCATGTGTGATATATTGTAATTCTAACTAGTCTCCAAACCATCTCTTCTATTAACTTAGCCGGCCTGCGTATAGCAGGCGTATGAACGAATGTTGAAGGATTTTGTACATGGTAATTTCAAACCCAACTATACAATATATATAACGACTATAATTTATAATATTTGATCCGTGGTCAGGCGCTTCTCTCTATATATGACTTCTCTATTTGCCAGTGGAACCGCCATAGATTTTATTTTAGAGGGCGCAAATTTGTGAGTCACAATTCCAGGGGGTCCCTCGGGTGTGTTCTCCAGGAAAAACTGAATTGAATTTTTGTCTCTGAAACGGCATTTCCCGGATTGTGGAGGCACCTGAAGAAAAACAACCCTTGATTTCAGAATTCTTCACATTGAGTGCATGGTCACATCATCATGGATAGCCGTTAAAAAAGGGATAGGAAACATGTACAACTGACGCCAGCAAACGTGACCTGTTTGAAATTCATGTCAAGAATAAAACGCCGGAATATACAGTAAAGTATAGTAAAGTTTACTGCGTTCTTCATCCATTTTCCTATACATGAGTATATGTTTTCACATTCGAGTAGCTGTATTGAGATTCAAGGCAGTTTCTTTGTCTTTTAAACCCACCTATATGGGCCCATGGATCATAAAAATGCTGGCCATGGAGTAGTAAGAAACTGAAACTCACGCTCACACATGATGTTTTCCCGTACGTATTAAGGCCGGATAGCGCTATGCACCGGATATATGGCGATTTTTTGAAGCCTTCTAAAACTGGCCGGTTTTGGTATAACCCAGGTTAAGTCATAGTATTAATAAATTGGAGGTTTTTTTAATTTTTGGGCTCTATATCAGTAGTTTTATAGCTTTTAAAGCATTTTTATGCCGGTTGAAAATTTGACTATCATGCCGAGGTGGATAACGCTGTCTGGCCTTCGTATACAACCAGCCCCTGATGTTTTCAGCGTGCTGATGGCGTCTCAACCTTGTTGAAAATTATGAAATAAATGCAAACAATTCCACGTTTAACAGTAATACAGCTGAGTATTTCAGTAAAAAAATGTAAGAATACAACCATGCCTCTCTACGATGGAATGTCTAAATATTGTTGGTCATTTTCAGGGAACATCTCAATCATTAGGATTTAGGCAGTAAAATACGAGATTAGAATATGGAGAGGCTGAGAAAGCATAAATTTGGTAAACACATTCTCTGACTACTTATTAATCATAAACAATATAAAAAATAATTTTAAAATAATAAATTATTTATTAACCACGCACCCTTTTCATGACTTTGATTAGTATTTATTAAATACGTTCTCTGGCTTATTATTATTCATTAAAATTAATTATTAAATATGCGTTACAAATTTCAAATTATATGAGTCAAAAGTAGTTTGTGTGACGCCATATGCAATTTTTTGATTACGAAAGTCAAAAACTTAAAGCAAAGACAAACAGCATATTTACTTGAATACTTTGCCTTATACTATATATAGGACAGGCAGGTTTAAAAGACAATGAAACCATATTTTGAGTCTCAATATAGCTAACTTTGCTATAAACTGTGATATCACGAATTTTAAATAGGTCACGTCTGCTCGCGTCAGCTGTTTCCTATCCATTCTTATCTATCCATATATAAAGGTAAATATTGCTCGTTTAGTTTTAGATTTTTACTTTTTTAATTAAGGAATTGGCGTCACAAAAACTACTGTTGAATTTGTGACGCGTATTTCAGGTTTTCACTGTCTAACACTTAATATATACGTTCCCTGAAAATAACCAACAATATTCCATCGTAGAGTGGCATGGTTGTATTATGGTTGTACTGTATGATGACAATTTACACCCCTTTTTCCCATCGAATATGATAAAACAACAATCTGAAAAACATTCGGGGGGGGCACCCCCTCCTCCCCATTATTACCGATTATTATCGTCTTCGAAGATCCGCTTTTTTTCATGCTGGTCGTGTGCTATCTTTTGCTGAAATCGCTCATCCTGAACGTCTTCAACCAACCTGGCTGTACTAGGTCTATAGGTGTGTTCGCAGTCGCCGTTTCATCAGCAGCTCTGCCTCGGCCACTCCGGTAGTTGTGCGGGACGTAATCATGTACTTTAACAGAAATGGAGACAGTCTAGTTCTGATTGTACCACCTTTCATTTTCTCCATCCCCTTCTTGAACACTCTTATTGCTTGTTCCACTTGCCTATTTGAGGCCGGGTGATAAGGAGATCCATGCAGTGTTGTGTTTGATTCCACTGCATTTCATAAAATGTTGGAATTCATGACTTGTGAAATTTGGACCACTATCTAAGCACAGTAACTAGCAACCCATGTGTTGCAAATATATTTCTCAGTTTCTCGACGGTAGCCCAAATGTTGTTGATTTCATTAAATGGACTTCGAGGTATTTAGAATGAGCATCTAAAACGACTATAACCATTTCACCGTGGAAAGAACCAGCATAATCAATGTGCAGTCGACGTTGACCAGGCCATTCCCTTGGATGGAGGGGTGCTGAGACAAAGGCTGCCTGGTGTAGTTGACATTTGTTGCGACCTTTCACTTCCTTCTCAAATTCAGCATCCAAGCCAAGCCACCAAACATAACTTCTTGCCGTTAAAGCTTTCATACGTGATACACCCGGATGAGCTTCGTGGAGTGCTGCTAATATTTTTGATCTCCCTGGTGGCGAAATTACCACTATTCTCCCCCAAAGGAGGCACCCATCCTCGACACCGAGTTCCAACTTCCGTCTCGCATAGAGTTTCAACGGCTCTGTCTTTAAGTGTCTTACACGTTGTCTGACATTGGCCAGCGTTCTAATGTACGCCGCACTGCTTGCGACAACACTGGATCACGTTTGGTCCAGTCCTCTATTTCAGCACCAGTTACTGGGGTTTCTTCCAAGTGATCCATCAATAATATTGTCTCTCCTGGTTGAGGGATGTTGCAAGGCATTTCAGCAAGTGGTAATCTGCTCAATGCATCTGCAATATCATTCTGCTTTCCAGCTTTGTACCGTATGGTATATTCCTAAGCTGCCAGGGGGGAGGGCCCACAGCCAGACTCGTGGTGCCGCAAGGGACATCTTTCGTCCATCTCAAGAGACTCTATAAGGGCTTGCGGTCTGTGTTGAGAATAAATGGATGTCCGTACAGGAAATGATGGAATTTTTTACTCCAAAAATGATGGCCAAAGTTTTCTTCTCAACTGTCGAATAATTTCGTTTGGCTGAATTTAACGATCTTTATGCATAACCTATTGGCTTTTCACTGCCATCCGGTAACTGATGAGACAAACCTGCACCTACGCCATACTCAGAGGCATCGGTTCCCAACATCAATGGTTTGGAAGGGTCAAAATGGACAAGGGGTCAGCGCATTGTTGTTGTTCCGTGTTCACTGCAAAGGAGCCCCTTGACGAAACTTGTGTAGAGGTTCCAATGTTGTAGCCACGTTAGGTAATAAACGATTGTAGTAATTCAACATTCTGCGGTGCAGGAGCTTTGTGGATGGTTTTCGACTTTTTCAATCACAGGTCCAATTCCACTACCACGTACTGATACGATATCCACAGTAGATGACTTGTGATACCATAAACGCCCACTTACTCTTCTTCAAACGCAGACCTGCGGTGGAAAGCCTTGTCAACACTGCAAACGGTCGTATTGGTATGGGCCCTTGTGTGTATTTATGACTGTATATTGTTTCGACTTAACTTCATCTAACAGCAGCTGCTGGTATGCTTGGGACATGACCAGTTTTGTGAACTTTTGGCTGCCCCCTAGGGTAGTGAGTAAGTCTTCGGTCTTAGGAGTTGGGTAATTATCCAATTTTGAAGCCTGGTTAATAGTGCATTTATGCAAAATATAGTTTGCCATGTTCAATTTAATTATTTTCATCCAATTGCGACCAAACAGGTTCGAACCTTGACTTTGCACCACCAAAGCTAGCAAGTGGCATTAATTCTTCAGTTTCTCGTAACTCACGGGAATAAAGACTTCCCCAAGAACTGAAATCTCCTGTAATCTGTTTCTCCTGTATATGTAGTAAGGACTGCAGAGGAAGGACATACTAGTAGCAAACTCCTCTTAATGCATCATAAGTAGCTCCGTTTATTATTGTTTTTGTTGCACCTGTGTATATAATCAGAGCGACTGGTTTTCCTGCAATTTCAACTTCAATTTTTACTGAACTGTCCGTTATATTCATGTCCGTTTTATATGTAAGTTATATTCATTTTCTGCACTCTCCTTGGTAAACTATCCGTTTGTCTTACTTGAAACAAAGCTATATTCATTTTCTGCACTCTCCGTCGAGTTTACCAGATGTGTTTCCTGTTTTACATCTCTTCTTCGGGTCCGTACACCTCCGAGTGTTGCTGTCGTTTCGATCAGCTGTTTGTCTCCTGCATACCTTGGCAATGTGGCTCAATTTCTGACAAATAAAACATCGCGATTCACGAAAACGAAATGAAATAGCTTGATGTTTTCCCCCACACGATAACGTACAATAATTTTGCCTGTCCGTATCTCCTGATTACTGCGATGGTTGACCCTCATTAGCTTTGTTTACTTTCAATAGAGGCCGATCTTCGATGTTGTTTTTCGCACTTAAATCTTCGAGCTATTTTGCCGAAGCCTCGAAGGCTACAACTATCTCCACTGTTTTTTATGCATTAGATCATTATTCACACCAGACACGAGACCATCGCGTATCATGTCCTCCAGAGTCTCGCCAAAATGACAATATTCCGACAGCTTGCGTAATTCTGCTACAGTATCCCGTAATACTTTCGCGTTCTCGCCGTTCTCGATTATGAAATCTAAATCGCTCGACAATCACATTTGGTGTACTGTATGGATTAAATACCCTTCCAACGTATCCACGATCTCCTTTAGGGTCAGTTCTTGGTCCATTATTATTTCTCATTTATATAAATGATTTCCATCTTTGTTCAAACCTTTTTCAATTTCATTTATTTGCTGATGATGCAAATTTGTTTTATAAAAACAAGAATATTGATATATTAGAAGAAAATATAAATAGAGAATTAATAAATATACATGCATGCATGACTGGTTATGTGCAAATGAACTGTCACTTAAACCTGCTTCACACTGGTCGTAATTCGTCGGCGATCTATTGTATTCTTTTCCGTCATTTCCGATAGACAAAGCATTTTACTCACCAACGACCACAGACAATAGAAATCCTCGATTCTTACGACCAGTGTGAACCAGGCATTGACATAGAAAAATCTAATTTTGTTCTTTTTCACCCTCCACGAAAGAGAATTAATCCAAGTTTTCAATTGATTATACATAATGATTTCGTGGGGAAGGATTGCTGTATCAAGTATCTTGGAATCTTTAATTTTTTTTATTGTCATTTAAATTAGAAAACACATATTGAGTACATAGCTAAGAAAATAAAGAGAAATATAGGAATTTTACCAAAACTTCGTTATTATGTTGACGAAAAAATTCTCATCAACCTTTATTATGCATTAATTTATCCATTTCTTTTATATTGTGTGATTGCATGGGCTTCTATCTATTAGTCTAGGACCTGTATATGAGTTTGTATGCATTTCATTTAGGACAGATAATCTCAACTGTTTTAGGGCAAGTTGACCATGACGGTCAACATGGTAACGCTGCCCGAACCCCAATCCGGGACGAAACGTCCGAAACTGACCACACACAAAAACGACGCTTTCGCCATACTGCTATCTACCAAACCATAAAAGCTTTGGCTATTCTGAGGTGCTTACATGGTTCAGAGATGGTACTATTGGGGGTGGTCATTGGTAAGTGTGAAATGCCTAGCACTAATATTTCACAAGAAAATGGCCATGCAATAATCATAGTTAAACGTCAATTTGTGGCTTGCAAATTCAGATAAACAGCAGTGGACTTACATTACCTTTTTCCCTAAATCTTTTTGATAGAAACATAAATGGTACTTATTTAAATATCTTATCACTGGTTTGGTGTAAAATAGTTAATATTTTCTGACCAAAATAATAATTTGAAATGTGCCTACCTCCTGCAAATGGACGTATTTGGCCAAGTTCTCGACTTTACTCCGCTGTTTATCGGCGATCTCGTCGATATCCTACAAAAAATGTAAATCATCTCAGACATAATGGTATCAAGAACATTTTAAACAAGTTTCAACTTGGTTTCAAGTAGATCATACCTGTTTAACCATCGACAAGGTAAATCCACAACTTTGTCCAAATTCGGCGCCATTTTGTCATCCCATGTCGCTTGTTAACAATTCAGCCTTGTTACTCTTCCATCCAAGCCATTTCCATTCCACTAATAATAAATTTAACCCTTTATAACAGGAGGAAACTAAAAAATCTAAACAAAACATAAGAAATTCGCCATTTTATCACCCTGTAAAATTTCGCTCAGGAGTCTTTCAAAACATTCCGTACAAATATCGCGTGACAAAGTAACAGGGACGTGACAGGAGGGGGTGAATTATTTCACGAAGATAGAAGAAGCTGCGTGAAATAGACTAAAAGCTAAATACAATCATACAAATGTTTGTTTTATTTCTTGTAGTGACAAATATATACATTTATTATTTATTAATATGAAAAAGTCATACAAATTAAATGTTGATTGTTGGTTTTACCATACTGTATGGGCTTTCATTTTTCAAGTCTCTATCCCCCCCCCCTGCAAGTCCCTGTTGCTAAACCACGCGAGATTTGTACGGAATGTTTTGAAAGACTCGTGAGCGAAATTTTACAGGGTGATAAAATGGCGAATTTCTTATATTTTGTTTAGATTTTTTAGTTTCCTCCTGTTATAAAGGGTTAAATTTATTATTAGTGGAATGGAAATGGCTTGGATGGAAGAGTAATAATGCTGAATTGTTAACAAGCGACATGGGATGACAAAATGGCGCCGAATTTGGACAAAGTTGTGGATTTACCTTGTCGATAGTTAAACAGGTATGATCTACTTGAAACCAAGTTGAAACTTGTTTAAAATGTTCTTGATACCATTATGTCTGAGATGATTTACATTTTTTGTAGGATATCGACGAGATCGCCGATAAACAGCGGAGTAAAGTGGAGAACTTGGCCAAATACGTCCATTTGCAGGAGGTAGGCACATTTCAAATTATTATTTCGGTCAGAAAATATTAACTATTTTACACCAAACCAGTGATAATATATTTAAATAAGTACCATTTATGTTTCTATCAAAAAGATTTAGGGAAAAAGGTAATATAAGTCCACTGCTGTTTATCAGAATTTGCAAGCCACAAATTGACGTTTAACTATGATTATTGCATGGCCATTTTCATGTGAAATATTAGTGCCAGGCATTTCACACTTACCAATAACCACCCCCAATAGTACCATCTCTGAACCATGTGAGCACCTCAGAATAGCCAAAGCTTTTATGGTTTGGTAGATAGCAGTATGGCGAAAGCGTCGTTTTTGGGTGTGTTCAGTTTCGGACGTTTCGTCCTGGATTGGGGTTCGGGCAGCGTTACCACGTTGACCGTCATGGTCAACTTGCCCTAAAACAGTTGAGATTATCTGTCCTAAATGAAATGCATACAAACTCATATACAGGTCCTAGACTATATGAAACAAACTTTCAACCACTTTTTATATTCCAAAAAAGGGCATTACATATTATGACATTTTCTAAGTTTGATGAACATTCAAGTCCGTTATTTAATTAAACAATTAAAAATTGTCAAATTATTTTATTTAATTCATGTTCAAATTGCTGTTTATGATGAAATTTCATAACCAATTTTTACCAGCAATTTTTAGTACTTTATTCACTCTTGTAAATCGTGTCCATGCACAATTATAACACACGATCTGTTGCAAAACAGTCCTATTACATGCCAAAAGCAAGAACAAATTATGTTGTGTTTAATATCAGATTTCGAGGTCCAAAAGTATGGAATTCAATCCATGATAATATAAAAATATCTTCTTCAGTAAAAGAATTTTAAAATAAGCTCAAAGAAGAGTTTCTAAATAATTATTAGTAAGATACCGTATAGCAGTGATATGCAATACAACTTAATTTTCAGACTTCATACAATCATACTTTATTTCAGGTCCAATGTAAAGATAATTATTTGTGTTGTGCATATGTTTGTAAATGTGTTACTCAATACCTTTGTAAAATATCATAATTTAATAGATCCACTCCATGCCATGTGGCTTCGTGGCATCAAGAAGCCTGAAGCCACTACCCTACAAATTTTGATCTGTTTGCCTTAATTAATTAATATTCAGAATTGAAAAAAAAGGGTACAATAAAGTCTTGTCTTGTCTTATTCCATTACACTAGGTTTCTTGGGTTGAAGTAAATTTCGTAGTAGAGCACACGTTTTGGGGCCACATATACTCAAGAAAATCGCAAGATGCTTCAGTCTTTTCATCTTCCACGTGGTGTGCAATGACGTATTGCTCCAAACGTTCGACGAACTGTGCCCACGTCTCCCCTGCGTCGGTTAAATGGACCTATTGTTCCGAATAAACTTGTCATGTTGTTGTAAAAGTTCCCTTTCTCGTCGCCAAAATGTGATACTTTAACACTCTATGAACTATGTACCATGCAACTGGCTAATTACACCTGTTCGCAGGGATTCCTGGGGGGGGGGGACAATTACTACAGTAATAATCCCGTCATGTATCCTAACGACGCACCTGTCCACTACCTATTATGCAACAATCACCTCATTAATAATAACTCCAACAACTACATGAACAACAGTGCATGGCCACAAACGGTAGTCACGTATGTCAACATTTTGCGCAGGTAGATGTACGCCTAGCGTACTTAATTTTTTGTGTACGTAACAAGCCCTCAAAACTATACTACTTGCGGTTATGTCTACATTCAAATATTGAAAATTTTGATACGTTTTCCAATCGGCAAACAAAGTTAAAAAGTATGTTCAGTGTTTTATCTGTAAAATAATGCTAAAACGAAGAGATTTTAGAATTTTCATATACTATTATCAACGTTTCTCAACCGGAAAATGCATTTAATTTAAAAAGGTAGCTAACTGTACAAACTAGAGAACAAAGCTAAAACAAAGCAATTTTGAGATTTTGTACGCCAAATAGATTTTCGGTTTTGAACACTTTTCATCGCAAATACGCGGTATATATAGAAAAAATTTGCCTCTTATATAGATTGTTCTTATATATTAATCTTGTAGATAGTTGAAATATGTACTCCGTGGCTCTATCTTATAGAAACAAAAATTTAAAATAAGAATAATACATCAAAAGAAAGCTGAAAAATAACGCATAAACTATAGAATAGGTCCAAATATTAAGTGAAAGTAATCGAGAAGGAGAGACTGGGTTTCTGTGCAATTTTACAAGGCAAAACACATACTCAGACACGTGGAAGTCTGTGCGCATGGCCACTGACCTGGACAGTAAATATACATCTGTATAATTTAGGGCCGTTCACTATTTAGGGGGGAGGGGGGAAGTAATTTTGTATTGTCGATTTATAGCAATTCCTCGCGATCTTTCAGGCGCTCGGCCTTAACTTTGCTCCCGATGGCATCCTCACATAGCGCTTTAGTCGACTTAGCTTTTCTTCGAAAGAAATTGGCTCGTTAATAAAAGCGCATGCAAACAAATATAGCCAAATGACATCGCTCTAAAGTCCCTATCGAATTGCGCAACTGTAGCTGACTGTATAGCTGACTGTAGCGCATTGCATGCAGCACTGTGATTGGTTTGCTTCATCTGACTGTAGCAAAAATGCTAAATTTAGTAACTGGTTCCCCCGCTGACTGTAATATTATAACGTCAGACCCCCAGTTGACTGTAGCATTTTGACGTCATAAATCGCTATATTTAAACAACTTTTTTCTGAACGCTTTTTGAACGATGTTTAAAAAATTTAGGTGATCTCCCCTTAGCGCGTAAAAGCGTAACTTTATATTCGTAGCTCACAAAATACGTACGGACATCTGGTCGAAGCTGCGGAAGTTATTTTTTTTGAGATAAAGAAACTGGAAAACTTCTATAAAGAATTCTTACTATCACCACGTTCAGTATTAAACTAATTTTGCAGGAAAATCTGACTGTAGCACTTGCTCCAGTTGCTACATTCTGGTATGCTGATAATATCCCCTGATATCCCCTGGTATGTTGATGATACTCAAATACATGCATCATCAGCAAGTTTCACAGAACTAGTAACAAAACTTAATAAAGACTTAGAAAATATATTCAAATGGCTTTCCCAAAATATTAAAATTACAACTTCATAACAAAAAGACAAAAGTGATGTAAGTTCACCCTATAACCTCAAAAACAAAGTTGGCAATGACCAAGCCAGTCATCCGATATTCTTCATTTCGATGTTTGTGAGTAGATCTCGATCAAAAGATGAGTTGGGTAAAGCATATAGATTCAATAAGTAAAAAGGTCGGCTCAGGTACCGTATTGGAATTATTAAAAGAGCTAAACCGTTTGTACCGAATGAAACTTTACAAATTTTGTATAATGCTCCATGCTACCATACTTTGAATCTTTGATTACTGTTCACTCTTATGGGACAGTTATGGATCTATTCTTAAAGAGAAAATTCAAAATCTACAAAATAGAGCGACAAGAGCTAAGACAGGTGCCAATTACAACGTTAGGTCGTCGGATTTACTCCGTGCTATGTCGTGGAAGAATCGATCTGAACGACACACAAAAAATAAACAAATTAATCAGTCCTGATTTATAAAATATTAAACAATCACTCTGCTCCAAATCTAAAAGATAAATTTACTAGAAGTGATACAAATCTTAATAATTACAATCTTAGAAGTGCTAATAGCCTAATACTAATCTTTCACAGGGCCGTAGCTAGACACGATAATTGGGGGGGGGGGGGTGTATATTCATATATTCATGTTTACATACCGTAAAAACAATCGATTTCAAAAGAAATCCGTGGGGCAGAACACGAATATATGTATATACCCCCCCCCATGGACCTTTCACCTTTTGACTAAAATTTAGATCTCAACAAGTTTAGACAAAAATTTCATCACAGCTTGAAAAAGCATCACAAAATTAGTAATATTCCAAAGTTTCGTTTCGAAATGTTGTAAAATGTGGATAATATAGCCTTGCGAAGTTTGCAATTTTCAGTCATATTGTATTACAAACGTTACAAAAATACCCTTTTTCCGAAGGAGGTATGTATTTCCCGCGCGTAATACAATACGACTGAAAATTGCAAACTTCGTAGGGCTATATTATCCGCATTTTACAACATTTCGCAACGAAACTTCGGAATATTACAAATTTTGTGATGCTCTTTCAAGCTGTGATGAAATTTTTGTCTAGACTTGTTGAGATCTAAATTTTAGTCAAAAGGTGAAAGGCCCATTATCGTTCTAGCTACGGCCCTGTCAGTGTATTTGCCATATACACCCGTTATGTACACACAGTAATTTTTGACCATAACTGTGCTTCATTACGATGATTCTCTAAGAACTTCGCTCCAATCCACTCTTGAAATGTGCCCTTTCCGGCGCTTATAAGATACTGCGCGCGAGAGATCAAAGTCAGATCAACAAGTGCTATCACGCCGCGATCTTGAACGTGAGACGCAGGGTTGTAAGTCATCCCTTGGGATTTTTCAACTATATGATCATGGATAAGTTTGAAGAAGTTTCCGTCGAGATGTTCCATGTGCCGATAACGGACAAGCCAAGCGGAACCGTAGTCACCCATATCGGTGGCGACGAAAACATGGGATAAACCAGTGGTACTTTTTAGAGCCACCAAAACCTATTATGGATAGAATATATATATTTATAAAGCGTGTTACATACACGTCTCTAATACGTACACCTCTCTAATATGCACTCCTCTCTAACACGTACACTTTTCAAATACGTACACCTCTCTAATACGTCTGTACACCTCTCTAATACGGACACCTCTCTAATACGTCTGTACACCTCTCTAATACGGACACCCTCTCTAATACGTCTGCACACCTCTCTAATACGGACACCTCTCTAATACGTCTGTACACCTCTCTAATACGTCTGTACACCTCTCTAATACGGACACCCTCTCTAATACGTCTGCACACCTCTCTAATACGGACACCTCTCTAATACGTCTGTACACCTCTCTAATACGGACACCTCTCTAATACGTCTGTACACCTCTCTAATACGGACACCTCTCTAATACGTCTGTATACCTCTCTAATACGGACACCTCTCTAATACGTCTGCACACCTCTCTAATATGGACACCTCTCTAATACGTCTGTACATCTCTCTAATACGTACACCTCTCTAATACGGACACCTCTCTAATACGTCTGTACATCTCTCTAATACGTACAACTCTCTAATACAGACACCTCTCTAATACGTCTTCACATCTCTCTAATACGTACAATTCTCTAATACGGACACCTCTCTAATACGCCTGTACACCTCTCTAATACAGACACCTCTCTAATACGTCTGCACATCTCTCTAATTGATACGCACACCTCTCTAATACGTCTGTACATCTCTCTAATACAGACACCTCTCCAATACGTCTGTACACCTCGCTAATACAGACACTTCTCTAATACGTCTGCACACCTCTAATACGCACACCTCTCTAATACGGACACCTCTCTAATACGTCTGTACAACTCTCTAATACGTACATCTCTCTAATACGGACACCTCTCTAATACGTCTGTACAACTCTCTAATACGCACACCTCTCTAATACGTACAACTCTCTAATACAGACACCTCTCTAATACGTGTGCACCTCTCTAATACGGACACCTCTCTAATACGTCTGTACAACTCTCTAATACGTACACCTCTCTAATACGTACACCTCTCTAATACGTACACATCTCTAATACGGACACCTCTCTAATACGTCTGTACACCTCTCTAATACGTACACCTCTCGGACAACTCTCTACTTAGTTAGTTAGTTAGTTAGTTAGTTAGTTAGTTAGTTAGTTAGTTAGTTAGTTAGTTAGTTAGTTAGTTAGTTAGTTAGTAAGTTGGTAAGTTGGTAAGTTGGTAAGTTCTCTCTGATACGGACACCTCTCTTCTAGTACCGACACCTTCTAGTACGGACACCTGTCTAATACGATATCTCTCCAATACGGTCATCTCTCCAATGCGGTCACCTGTCTAACACCGACACCTCCCTAACACCGACACCACTCAAATATAGACACCTTTCTGTTTATATAGGGACTTCTCTCTAATACAGTATTTTTCGTCGTTTCTTGCAGTGTCAGAATAACATGAATCTAGTTTTTAATATCTCTTAGTATAGTTCTGAAATGACGTTTTACACTTAATACTTTTCTCTGATACGAGCACTTGGCTCCGTCCCATCCGAGTCCCTATTGGGCAGTTCGTCTCTATTTGGGAAATTCAAAATACAAATACAAACCTCGAGCACCAGATCAATACAGTTTCGAAGATAATCCATAGAGAATTCTCGCAGCATAAACTCACTACGCACATACACCGCAATATAGTTCTCAGCTAGCGCCTCTTTCGCAAAACGCTCGACTTCGTTGATGACGGACTGACCAGGTCTCAACGCATATGCAAGATCAATTGAGGAATACTTCATGCCATCTTCGCTGAACTTCAAACGATAATCATAAACGTGAACCTCTATTCCTCTCCATATGAATATATTAAGACACTTTTCATTTTTAACGATATCTTTTTCGAATACTTTCCAATCTTTTATAATATCTCCGTTGACACAAAATTGTTTTCCAGGAATTCGCTTCCTAGCTCTGTCAAGAAATGTGCATTCCGTCCAACCTTTTTGGGTGGTGTTTTTTAAGATCGCCTTATAGTAATCTTCCTTCAAGCGAAGATTCGCTTTAGTGAATCCCATTGATGATTGTGAATTGTCAATGAAATGTACGCTTACATGATCAGGGCTGTTGGGTGGACATTCCTTCAAGTATTCCGCCGTATCCACAAGTGTCGCGTAACCAGCGGCTGCTAGCAGGCCATCTAATTGCTTCACATCGTAATAAGTTTCCAAAAGGAACCAGGATTGGTCAGAACTAAGTTTTGTCTGTTTTACAAAAGGCCTGACCACTTTCCGCCCGGTTCTTCCAGCTTGCGCACAAAGGCTAAGAAACGAACGAGTGTTTGTCGAAAGTTGGTCATTGTATTGATAATCCACGTAGGCGTATTTCTTCGACGGATTTCTCCCTCTGGCTTTCGAAATGTCAATAATTTTTGGAAAATCCCATTCGGTGTAATTTACGGCGACGAGTGATTTCTTGGTTTGCGGATCATGAGTGATGCGTATTTGTAGATTTTGACCAATGGTGCCTTTTATTATGGCAAGCAAGTCTTGAAAATCCACTCCTTCGAATTTGATATAACGGTACTGTTGGAAACTTTGAATTAAGTCTTGCTTTTGGATGAGTTCTGGGTGTTCTATGTTGGTTTTAAAAAATATATACCAACCAGTAAGGATGAGGACCAAGATGGTAATCAAATAGAGCGAAGAACGTATCTTCCTCCTATATAATAGTAACCATACTCAATGATATCATTTATGAAATTAAATTTATCTAATTAAAGGGATAACATAAAAAACGTAGGGGCCAGTGTCGACGTTATGCAAATTTACATATATATATATATATATATATATATATATATACATATATATATATATATATATATATATATATATATATATATATATATATATATATATATATATATATATATATATAAAATAAGTGCAACGACTCAACAAATTCCACCAGGCATCTTTATTACTATTAGTTTCGTACCACAAGATGTGGCACTCATCAGATAAATTAGCCTTATGACTACAACAAAAAACCTACAGTA